TCTCGTTTGATTGTGGATTTTTGTTTTTATGGCAAGCAGAAGGTTTTTGCAGTCTTCTTGGTTCAATTTTCCCTCAAAACCATACTTTTTCCCCAATTATTTAAATGTTTACAGGACTCTGAATTGTACCTAAACATGTACTTAACATCCCCTTTAAAGTCCGGAGTATTTGTCTTTTTGTTACATAAGTTCCCCATTTTGATTTCTTATTTTATTCAATTTTTAATTTTGAAACTTTTTATTTTATTTTACGTGCGCAAAAAAACTTAAAAAAAAACTCAATTCCTTCTGAATCACACACATTCACATTCACTCTTTTTTAGGCCTTTGGTACTCTTGGGACTGCTGCCCAGGGACTCCAACCCGCTTAGTTCTAGGGATTACTGCCCAGGGATTTACAACCCATTTTCAGCATTTAGGGATTACTGCCTAGGGACTCCAACCCAGTGCTTGAGCTTCTGGTTGTATTTACAGTCAATCATACCATGTCCAAACACTGTGGCCATGGTTTCCCTGTATCAAGTAGTTGTTTTATTGTGCCATTTTTTCTTTTTTACCAATCCAGCACTTTGCGGATGGTAAGCTGCATGTAGTTTATGTGTAATGCCATAATCTGTCAACAGGCTTCTTACACATGCTGCTGTAAAATGTGTCCCATTATCTGAGTAGATAATTTCTGGGAATCCATATCTTGGAAATATCGCTGTTTTCAAAACTTTACACGTGAACTCAGGATGAATTTCAGTCCATTTACTGAAAGCACAGACAGTGACTAAACAATATTGTTGATTTTGTGATTTGTTTAGTTCAATGAAGTCCACATGTAGATGGTTAAATGGTTCTTTAGGCATCGGAAATGAGCCTTGTGTTAAAATATATCCATTTTGTATTAATCGCTATTCTGTATAACCATGTTCAGCCAGCTGTGGACACTGCACCCTGTCTTAGCCACTGAATCACACTGAGTTTCGAAAACAATTCCTAATCTGGTAACAGAGATAAGCGATAAAGAAGAGTCTGAGACACTGAACACAGTGTCTCAGACTCTTGAAGAGTCTGAGACACTGAACACAGCGAGGTTATTTATTCGTCCTTCTGCATTGTCGAAGTCACACATGCAACTGTTTGTGAATATTGACATCGAGAGAGGAAGACACGATCCATTCGCGGTGACTTGTCAACTAAACCAGAGATCTCTGTAAATGCACTGTTGAACAATTAAAGTTGTTTGCTCATTTCACCTTTGTAGTGATTTATCATTAATATTGTCTGCATTGACTATGTCACTGAAACACGCACATGGGACGAGTTGGGTCCCGCCGCCCAAAGGTTGAGGGACAGCAAACGCAAAAGGGGACTGATTTGGATCTGAAATAATTAAAAGGGCAAATCTCTGCTTGTGATAACAAATTGATATCATAAAATAAGGTGAAATGAACCTAGTGTAATAAATGTATTACACAAATTACACAATTCCGGGGCCAGGGGGCTGACCAAGGGACGGAAAACTTTACCAGGGCCAGGGGGCTGACCGAGGAACTTATTTTTTGAGAATATTTAAACGTTTACCGGGGCCAGGGGGCTGACCGAGGGACTTATTTTTTGAGAATATTTAAAAGTTTACTGGGGCCAGGGGGCTGACCGAGAGACTTATTTTTTGAGAATATTTAAAAGTTTACCTGGGCCAGGGGGCTGACCGACGGACTTAAAGAGTTAAGTATATGTGAAAATTTTTGATAATATTGACAAAGTTTACCGGGGCTGACTGACAGACGTTTAAAGAAAATAGATGCATAATATAGTTGTTGTTTAAATGTGTTATTGAAATATTGTTGTGAATTAATATTGTTTGAATTACTGTGCTGTGAAATTATTGCTATATACTACTAAAAAGAGATAATAATAAAATGGGTACATTTGGAGAACTAGGTGATCCAGATACATGGCCTCTTTGGTCTCCCTCAAAAATCCCT